CACAAAAATATTAAGCAGCACAACTGTTTTCAACATTGATAATAAGATATGTTTCTTTGAGCCCCAAAATCAGCATATTAGAATAAAGACAGCAGTAATGGTTGCTGAAAATTCAGCTTTGCCATCACAGGAATAAATCATATTTTAAAATATTAAAATAAAAATATAACTGACCCAAAACTTTTGAATGGTTGTGTATTTGTGTAAATCTAAAATAAAATGATACATACCATGGTCACTAATTGGAGCCAGATTGTGTGTACTGGATCAAATGAAAACTAGACTAAAAAAACATGTACAAAATGGAAACGACTGACAAACATTTGACAAATAATTTTTTCTTCTTTGAATTTAAAGCATTCAAATGCTGTTTCAAATCATTCTGGCCCAATTTAAAAAGCTTGGACATATATCTAAAGACGTTATCTATTTAAAAAAAAAAAACTAATTTAGCCATCTAAATTGCCGAGTAAGTTAGTAAACATTCTGTACTTGCAAATGGTTCAGTAATGAATATATGCTGACACACTGTACAATGTAGCAACTGTTTATCCAGAAGTAAATCATGTTGGTTTTAAAGGTCGTTTGGTCATGATAAACATCTTTGAAGTTTTGGTTGGCCAGGGGAGACATGTGGTTCAATATTCCTGGAACAACATTCCAATCCTCCAGTCAAGGAAAAGTTTACAGTTATTATCACGTTTAGGCTTGCAACCAGTGTTAGGACCTTCTACACTCTTCTACATTCTTATTCACCTATGATTTCCCTCTAATTTTAGGGGTAAGTAACAGTTAGGTTAGGTTTCGGGGTTGGTATAAAGTTAGGACTATGCTTCTAGACTGGAGTGTTGATTCACAAACATGTCTTACTTGGCCAAATCACATCAACCTTAATTGCGTGTGTGTGTGTGAGACAAAGTCATGGAAAAAGACATTTAACAAGAAATTAAGATCAACAGCAGATAGGATTTCAGAAAAAATTACAACAGACTGAATGTCTGAAATTGTAACCACAAATGTAATTGTCTGGAGCACATTCTTATATATTGTGATGTATGTTTGTTTGATTATCGAAAATGGAAAAATGTGGGTGGGACTCGGTTCTACTGTATGCATTGGTTGTTGATTGGATTCTGAGATGTGGGCACTGCACTCAAAAGTGGATGATCTCGAGCTTGCAGGAGTGGGGTCTGAGTGTAAAGTTCAGTTATGGCATTGAAAAATCTGCATACGCATTGATGAATTGTTCACAAGAAGATCTATAATGTGCATTTAGAAAATAGTTAAGGCAGGGCTGTACAGTCCTGCTACTGGAGGGCCACCTTCTTGCAGAGTTCAGCTCCAACTTGCCCCAACACACCTGTCTTGTAATCCTGAAGATCTTGATTAGCTGGTTCAGGTGTGTTTACTTGTGATTGGAGCTAAACTTTGTAGGATAGTGGCCCTCCAGGAGCAGGTTTGGACACCCCTGAGAAAGGGTGAATTTCCATTTCATGCTGACTTTGACATACACAAGAGCACACAAACTTACACGTTGCTGATGAGTAGCTGGCATGACGTATGTTGAAATGCTGCCGCTGGTCTGCGTCTGGCTCCTCGGGTTCAGTGGCAAAGCTGGCGTTAAAGCCAGAGTCCAGAGATTCGTTTGCAGGCAGGGAAATGGGGCCTGACACTGTGACAGTGGGCGGAGCTTGAGTTGGGACGGAAACAGGCGTCTCTACAGGAGGCTTAGGAGCAGGTGGGTTAGAAACTGAAGGTTCGGCTTCAAGACTAGGCTCGGGTTCCTCCTCAATCACCTCCTCTTGTCGCCGCCTCTGGTCCTCTTCTGCCTGTCGACGGAGCTTTTCTCGTTGGCGCTTGATGGCGGTGACACGGTCACGGATGGCTTTGGCCACCAGTTTGTAGTCTGCCTCACAGACAAATCCAAGAACAACCTGAAGGATACAGATTAGTTATCTGTTCAGTGATGGCACAGAAATTTAAAAAAAAAAAAAACAATAGAATATAATCTCCATCAAATCAAGATTTTCGATCTCACCATCTCCTGAGCCACTTCTTCTGGGACGTCCTTGTAGAGTTCAAACAGGAACTCAATGGCGTTGTTGTCCTTATATTTGCCATGGAGCTTCTTGGTGTCATCCATTCGAAGCCAGAGTTTAAGGCCAGACTTCACCATGTCATCCTCCTCAGCCAATTCGACATGGACACCATTATTCTCCTGGAAGAAGGTGTGCTCTAACAGGTCCTGGATAGTGTACCTAAACAAGATAACAAGAAAACACATAAGATCATATACTTCCTTCGGGGTTTTACAAAAGGGCATCAAGGTTTGGCTGGTTAGCATGATCTAGTTAACCCCTACTGGTACTGCAGATGTTTTAACTACACCATCTGGCTGCAAAAAAACAACAAAAAAAAAACATATTTTTCCACTAGAAGCATTTGAAAATTAGCTCTGTATTTTGACCACATTTCTTTTTTTCTTTTTTTTACAAGCGACATGCACGTGACAAATATTAATTACTATCCTAAACTAGCTATTTTAAGCTATTTTGATGAATGCTGTTTACATGAGCTATTGCTTTTAATAAATGCTAATTTCACGATTTTTAAGCTAATTTACAACCAGATTTCCTTGTTGCTAAGATTACAATGTCTTTGTGAAACACATAACAATAAAAAAGCAAAACCCTAGCATAATAAGGTCTCACATCTTATGGTAGATGGACTGTCAGGCAAGCACTTTGAGATCTTAATGTGACTGAGAGTAAGAACATTCATCTACAAAAACTGGAGTTAATTAAATCAACACTATTAATCATCAGAATTACCTGCTGCTGGATGGAGTGAGTCATTACTAGTGGCTATTGACCAAACGCTTTACATAATCGCTGGGTGACATATTAAATGGACAATTTTACAGGTAGAAATGTGTTATGTTGAATTGATTACACGATTATGAGGATATTTTGGGTAGAACAAAAGTGGTGTGATTGAGTGATTGAGTGATTGCAAGTGGAGAACAGGTTGGTTACTGATGGAAACTGTTGGTTACTTTTTTAGTATAAAAGTGAAAAAAGCTAACAATTAATATACTTACATTTCTTTTAATATGTTTCAAGCATATTATTGTAAATAAAAATAAATTTCACCCAATATCTGTGCACTTCTGTGTGTATTTTTATGTTAGAGTGCCACGCTGTTAGCTTAACAACATGCTAATGCTAAACTTTATTTGGAGTCATGTGTTGTGCTATTTGTGTAGCGGCCAAAGTAGAGTGTTTCAAATTGGTCACTTATATATATATATATTAGGGCTGCCATCGTTAACGCGTTAACGCATGCAATTAATTTTACAATCCTTAATGCATTAAAATAATTTAACGCAAAATTACTGAAGCACAATTTCTATTCTAACCCTTTAACCCAATTTTGCTACTCTGCTTGCGATCAGATCATTTTAAGCTGCTAAACTCCAGGAAAGTTTTCAGTCCAATGATCCAGTAAGCGAATGCATTCAAACAATCCGTCCAAAACAGAGTTAATATAAAGGAAACCAGACTGATTATATCAGAGATTGCGGGGAGAACAGAGACTCGTGTTGCGTTTTCAGTGAATTATTCATTCCAGTGTGTTTCGCTTTAAAACACGAGCTCTGTCATATTCTGTGATTGTCTCTGAAGAGCGCGAGCTCTCACACGTTGCGCTGTGTCAAGTACAGGCTGAACGGATTGTCAACACATCCCACCACTGTATGACCAGATGAAACGCAAACTACGTTTTCTCGACTGGATAACCAGTCTCGCTAGTAAAATTTTGATGGATGAAGACTTCCGTACATTCACGTTGTTTCCACACACATTCACGAATGTTTTGATTTGTCATGTTTATGTTGCTGTGTTTAGTTATACTGAATGGATCCGTGTACTGTAGTAGATGCAGTCAGCAGGCGATTGGTTTAG